GTTGGTACTCGTATGCTAAAGCATAAACATCGTAACCTGTTCATACGCCCGAGTGTCAATTAATGAATGACTCTTCCAAGACAAGGCTTCACGACTTACTGACCGTCCCCTGTAACACCTTCCTAGGGGGTCTAACAGCCATGGTCCTCAGAAGCAACTAGCAGCACGGTGGCGGTGCACTACGCCGCGGAAAATAGTCCTTAAGATGTCATTCGTTATTTTACCATTACTTTTTGATGCTGGGCCAGAAAACCTAATGAATCTTCAACTTTTTAATTCATGGTCTGAACACAACAACGAATTTTTTTGCTTATAATTTCATTAGTTCCTTTATAAACCATTTTAGACAGCCCAAATTTCAAGCCTTTTGGATCGCTGACCTTTATACATACCATTCAAGGATTAAGCGTCAGAGCTTTCCTTCGAGAGAACTGCGCAATGGAAAGTGGTACGGAACGATATACAGAGCTGTCTACTGAGGACATGCTGTCCATTAACTTCGATTCTAACTGACTGAATGGAGGGATATTTCTCTTAAAGGATCATACCGGGCATTTTTTGACAAGATGGGGTGCGCCGCTATCGCAATTCGGTGATTGCTTCAGTGTCCATTTCTGACAGATGACCAAATAGAGACGAAACATGAGAATACCGTACTAGAAAGATGGAACTAAACCGTTCTTTTACTGAATTACTGATGAGATGTTTGAGTTGTAAGAAGCATTTCGTCAATTCACTCATCAGCAGTCGTCGATGGACATCGTTTGATGGTTGGGTTCTCCTGGGCTAGTAGAGAAATGTTTGTGGGGATGACCGAACATGACCGGTGAATCGGCAAGAATTAAGTGCTACCATATGAGAGCAAAGCACACATTTATCAGTGAATACCACAAATCTTGGCGAAAGCTCAACGTTTCGTCGAATGGAAGTCGTCCACTCGTTCGGTTCGCAAAACGTCAGCTGCTTTCTTTGTAACATTCAGTGTTCTGAAGGATTTCTGAATCAATGCAGTCTCCTGGATTCTGTCAGTCCTTTTTCACGATGCAACCGACCAATACGACATAATGGAACAACACTTGGTAAGAGAATAAACGATGCAAATGATTCCCGTCAGAGCGGCTAAACATCCTCTACGAGTCATATGCTTGCGCAAACAAGCTCTAACTGTTCATATATATTCAAAGGAGACGAAAACATTGCTAAAGCGAATGTCCGTACAAATGGCACACACCGCGTTAACCGAACAATCAAACATCAATTTCAGAGAACGTGAATACAAACATTGGGGCAGTGTCTCGGCAGACTTCGCTCCAGATTCGGTTTATGTTCTGCCAAGTTCAAACGCTAGCATAGAATTGGGAACGAGTTAAGCACTCTATGACACATCTAATCCAGCGACCCGATAGTAAAAATGGTCACTGAAACTAACTGACTAACTGAGTATACAAACGCAAAGTTCTGCAAGCACACAAAAAAATAACACGTCTTGATGATGGTAAGCGACAGGAAACAGCGCAATTTACGGCAAGATTATGATTGACTACTGGAAAAACACGGATACAAATCCGACATACGCCTCAGCAAACAAACCAATGATTTCCGCACTGCTGTTAATAGCAGTCCTGAGATTTGTTCTATCAGGTAAAAACGTCTCCCCAATGATGTCCCTGCAGTAAATGGGGAAACGCTGATCTACGCTTTGAAATTCTGATTCAACAAACACATTAATAACTTAGTACATGCGGTGTAATACATCACTGCTCATAACTCACACCATATCGTTATGACTGAAGTAGCCCATTGCTACTATCGTCGCAGGGTAAAGCAGTCACTCGCAGATTCAATGAACAGTTCGAACAGGGTACTAGAACATTGTCGCGACCATAAAACTGTAGTTGAGGATCAACGACAAAGCAACCGCCGCACCTGCAATCAATCTGAACCGGAGAAGGTACTGCTTCGAGGCTCGCTTTCATGTCTTTCTCGTCAACGACATCTCGAAGAGAAACTGTCTCGTAAAACAAGCCGGAATTCAGACGAAGTTCTTGTTCCTGCAACCATCTGTCGTACACCTTTCTCGAACACTCGTCACCGATCACTTTCCACGCCACAGCTATGGCTTGCAGCCGTTCAACATTGCCCTCAGCACTTCTGTCTGGATGAAATTTGCGCAGCAGGCGAAAATAAGCAGCTTTCGCTTCCTGCCTACTGCAAGACGCGGAAACTTCCAACAAATTGTAGAGCGTTTCCATCTGCAGATCCGAGTTCACGGGATACAACTGTTAGCAAACCTCACTCGCTGCATAACGACTTATCTCAGCAAGAGCGACAACGCGTTAACACTGACAACGGTAATATGCTAATTTGGGAGTGTACTGAATACGATAAAGTTAATGTAGACCGCAAGTAAATGTCTAATAACAATACACATTAGGCCGTTTCGTTATAAAAAAAAACATGGCTCTTGACGAAAGTCAATAGATAATCTTGCATTTTAACATAGATAAATGATAACGGTTAGCAAATTAAATAAAAATTACAAGGCAATATTCTAACTTACGCAAAAGTTTAAATTTGAAGAGAAGAATTAAAGCTGGCATCATCATTACTTTCGACAATTACGTAAGCTAAACCTTCCTTGTTACTTATGTTGATCGTGTTCCGAATTTTAAAGGTCTTTTTTCTGTAAGGCAGCTGCTACTGCCCCTAAATTAATGAGTTCGTTGCTAGATACAGAACTGTCTCTTTGCTATTCAATTATACCTGTGTTCGTTATTGACCGGCATCTGTCGGATTTCTGCTGCCAGAAATAGCGACTAGACAGTAAAGGGTTTTTATTCTTAATCATTTTTTCTGAGACCATAAATACTTTTTGTTTCTCCAAAATTTTTGCTGACGACGATTGTGCAGGAAAAGAGAAAAATTATTCCTTTCATCAAGCGTTCATTTATTCATTATATGGTCGGGTAAGTGCTTTCTAAGCTGATCAACCACCTTAAACATTTTTTTGAAAAATGATCCGTGCTTTTAGGAACAATATTAACGCAACTGAATCGCAACGTGCAGGTGAATTCTTCTGGAAAAGAACATTCATTTAACATTTGTTACTCTTGTACGAAGGAAGTAAAGAAATGGATCTTAAAACCAACGCAACGAAAGCGGTGATGCGAAATGTCGGCATGCCTAAGGCCAATCTACAGGCAGACGGGGCGGATTTCGAAGAAGTCAACAACTGTGTCTACTTTGGGCCAAGTACTGAATACGTGCCATGATCTCCTCCCGGAGATTATACTTCTAAAGGCTGGCGGATGGCGCAAACTCTATAGCATCGTTGATGTTCTCGAAGTATCAGACCAGAAAGACAGTGCTCACCTGTTCAACAGCATAGTGCTGAAGTCAATGGCATACAGAAGCGAAACGTAGGCACCGAAGAAAGCAAAAGAAAATGTTCTGGCTGTGACGGAGAGAGCAACGGAATGAAAGATGCTTAGAATATACCTTCGTGACCGTATCGACAACAAAACTCACCTCAAACTGATTCGCTTGCAAGATATTGTACGAGCAATGAGAGGCACAGAGAGTAAGATGCATTGGGTAGACCACGTTTGCACGTCTTCATGACAACCAATGGGCCTCGAGCATTGTCGAATGGTACCTGTGGGAAAGAAAATGACCACACGGGCGACCTCCGATTACGTGGCAGATGTACGTAGAATAAATAATGGAAAGGAACCGGATACAAACTGCCCAGGACCAAATAGCCTGGTGTGATGGCGCACGGCGTGTGGCAACATTAAAGAATCCACGCTGAAGCCCGAGCAATCTTAAAATTTATTCTTGTACCACCAAACATTTCAGAACTTCACAATAGCTGCACAGATTGAAATCAAGTCATAATGAATACCTAATTGCAACACTTTTCTTCTGTTTAATTTATGAGCATTGATCCTTATACTACATCTTTAGACCTACTTAAATGAAGATGTCATCTGGAAAGTAATTTTGTTCGCTGTCATTTCGGCAACCTCAGCAGCCTCTCAATTATTTCAGGAAAGAGATTAAAGTGGACAGTTTTCATAACCGCAGTTGCACACACTTATCATTCAAATGCTGCTAACTACACGAAGTCCGCCTTTCCCAAAGGTTGTTGCAGTATTTCTGTTGACCTGGATGCAGAATCAGAATAGTCACAATTCCTTGATTCAATTTCAAATGATTAAAACAATAAAACTCATCTGCGGTGACCGCTTATACTTCTGGATTACGGAAAAATACATGCCAAACCGTGTATCGAGAGTTAACAATTTCGTACCAGCGTTTGGGAAGTTTGCCAAGAGATAACCCGAATTTAGAGCGACGTTTTCGATGCACTTACAAAAAGTTATTCGTGGTCGTCGTCCGGGTCTTCTTTTGGATAGGTGAATAAGTACAATTTTGTTCGCCTTCCTTTTTTAAATATCCCTAAGGCGTTTCCGAATCATTACAGCCGTCATTTCTCAATTTTGAGAACCATAGACCACATATCAAGACTCTCTCAGACACCTATCCTCCGGACCCTGTATAAACAGGTGAGCCAAACGATTAGTCTCAAGGAGCCCATTTCCGTCCCTTTTACTCGAGAACGAAGTTGTTGAATGATTACACAGGACTCATGAACGTAGGTGAGCATCGGGATGACGATCCATTTCATTACAAAGAGATTAATATTGAGATTCAGCTCTGCTTAGTCACAACTCTTCGGACTAGTTCACTCATAGTGCCTGCATTATGAGAAATTTTGAGAAATTGAACTGCTTTAACATTTTTCTGCAGACAGCCGCCGGAGGGGGGCTGACTGAATGAGAATGCAGAACGCATTATTATATTAGACATCTTAACCTGCATTTAGGTCACGTTCACACGGCTGTAAACCATTCAAGTGACAGTTGGGCAAAAAATAAAAAATTATGAATTTAAAAAATTGCTTTAATCCGTTTGACATCGGATAAAATGAGAATAAGGCCAAACCCGTAAATATGGAAAAGCGTACAACGATCATGCTTGATTCTCTTGTCATTTCTTTGGATTCACAAAACCTAGTACACTCTTGCATCGATTGTCCTAAGGAAAGGTTTAAGCAGGCTACGGCTCTATTGTGTTTTAGCATCTGCAATGGACTGACGCAAAACAGCACCAGTGTTTCATCGAACCATGCACTATAAGTGGAATTGACACCACGAATTTCGCCTTCTTAAACGGTTTCCAAGGTTGCTAGAAGCAAGGGCACAGTGCGTTGAACGGCGTGAATTCGGAGAAATGACAGGCGAATATTGTTGCTACTAACGGTATTCAAAACTAGCAGTGTGCTATCAAGCCCATAATGGCTTGGCTCAGATCTGATGTATAATTGGTTTTTTTGAAATACGTAGGCTGACTGCAAAACTTAGTACGCTAAAGTTATCAAGCTTAAATAGATAACGGTAGATTGATATGCAAATCACACCGTAACCGCTAGTTGCATGTTCAAATTGTATTAACCGTCAAATGGGTTTGATCTGTGGTAAATTTGTATTTGGTTGTTGTATTATATGATTGCACTGAGTTATTGAACAGCTGTTCACATAAATAGATATTTTTATCGAATGTTAGTACTAATTTTCTGCAAAACGCTGAATTCACTTTCGAAACTTGTTCACGGTTGTAAGGCAGACTGAACTGTTGATAACTAGCAGTTAGAGTACGTCGTCTTTGAAGCTTTAGTAGTTATACTCGTTATACTCTTTCTTACTTGCTTTTGTCACAGTAAATCTGCTCGAAGGCGAATCATGACTAGACTTCGAGATTTCGTTCGTTGTTGTACAAGTCCTTTCGCCCCTTCCCGCCAAGCGAAACTGATGCCCGTAACTCTTGATTAACCTTTTTGATTTTTTTGATGTGCTTCCTCGACACTTCGCTGTCTCCCTTAAAAAAAGTTCAGGCATGTCGCATGAAAGTTCTCTGAAAACGGGGTTTATTCGCACATATTGCACGCAATTTGGTCAATCAGTTGATTGACCAGACCGCCATTTCGTCCAGTTGTCTCGAGGCAAAGGCTTCTTCAAGGTAAGGAGGCTAGTTGACGGAATTCGGAAGTCGTTATGTTTCCAAAGCGGCTGGCTTATAGAGCCAGAATAAAGCCAGAAGGCGGCCTTACCTGAAGAAGGCCATGCAACAAATGCCGTAATGTCAGTGTTATTCAATCATCCAAAACCCATTTTCTGCTGTTTGTCATCTGAGCATTTGACCTACATTTTTTGTGATGAGTCTTTCATATATCAAGGTTTAACGTAAGCCAGTTTAGGCGGAAAACACCAGCAGACCAAAACGAAGCTTCTTGCGCAAAGGTTGAGTTTTAATTTTTAAGCGATTCCTAGTACGGAAGGATGGCAGCATGTGGAAATGTCAGAGTAGTGAAAGCTAGGTGTACGGCTGTTTGCTTTCGTTGCTCCTCATTAAAAACCGGGTATACGCGGTCGAAAACTTTTCCGTGGATAACGATAGACGATGACCTCGTGCTGCGTTGATTTTATGCTTGGCTGTACGTCATAGACCCTCATCCCTTTTTGAGAAACTGACACAGAGGCATTTTTCCTGACATGTAGGATGAGGTTTCGAAGGTAATTTAACTGCACGCATGTTAATACGTGGTCGAAAGCCAGTTCGTGAAATAAGCGGTTGTCGCTTAAACTCTTTGAACTTTAAAGTTTTAAACTACTAGTCAGTCCGGTTCCCTGGTAGTTAATTCGATTGTGGTTTAATAGACGAGAAATACAGCTTAATTAATAATTTCGTTCTTGAGTTTGTTTTTTCCATTTACTATGTGTTACTTGTTGTTTAATCTGTTTTAACGTTTTTTTGTTTATGCTGAAAGATAAGATGCTTGAAAGATTTTTCTGAATCAATCAACTTTAAAATTATTAAACTTCGTTCGAATCGTCGTAGTTATATTTGTGGCTTTCATTTTTTGTGGCTAGGGAGGGGGCGGTAGCATTAGGTTGGCAGCCATAGGAGATGTTGGGTTTGAATCTCAAAGACGAAAGAAAGTCGCTGTCAGCTGCTTATTCTCTTCTTGCTAAGAAGTCACCCCACGTTGCTTCATCGCAATGAGCCGAGAAATGTGTAGCAAGCCTTTGGCGTCAGAATAGTAGGGGCAGTATGCCGTTCTGTTTTTGTCATACTAAAATGGATGAGAAGAAATGTCATGATACCTGATGCAAACGCCTCTTAGGGCTGTAGTTCGCCTTAACTCATTTGGTAGCTGACTATCCAGCGTAATAATTGTCATGATACTCTTTTGTTGTATATGTTCACTTTCTGGGTGGCATTCCGTGTATTTCACTGTAGTATAGTTCACGTCGGTGTGGACTGGAAATCATTCGTGTTTCAAACCGAGCGAGTAAAGCATCAATCTCACTGCATCATCATTAAACCTATCACTGACTCTAAGCCTCTGTACTGTGTGCTCTATATTTAAGTTCATGTCATAGCTTAGGTTCGGGTAGAGGCTTAGGCCTTAATGTGGTTAAAGCACATAATATCGGTCTAAACTGAACAGCGAATAAGTTTCGGTTTACATCGGTATCAACTAAGCCATGCGTACAATCATACATGCTGTTACGGCGAAGTTCTCTGAACAGTTTGCTGACTTGCGTACCAGCGCGTGAAATGATTGATTGAAGACATTACTGGAAAATGTTATGCATCAGAACTTGTGTTACGCTATGTTATGCAACAAGTGTAACAGATCTTGGACGCCTAGTGACAGGTGATGGGAGACGGGCTCTAGTTCATGAAAGTTTCTTACGGGTACACCTAGTCTGGCTAAATCCGACTTAAGTACCACAGTAAAATTTTTCTGAGCAATAGGGGAATATGTGCATGCGCGTATAAACACACAGTAACGGAAATTCATTAGCAATTAATTCATCCAAAATTGGTTGGCAGTACTCTTTTCTTGCTCGACAGAACTGCTCCATACTCCGGAAAGGAAGAATGAAGTTAGACGGCGATTGCTAGAGTTACAAGTAACTGTCGTTGGATTGCGCTGCATTGGAGCAATATCTTCATGGACATTGATCTAGTACTTCCGCCACATTTGACTAAGTACTTTGTTTAATGTCGTTGAATATTTGTCGACCTTACGGACGGAACTTTGTTTGATTAGAGTTTAGTAAGGCATAGAGATATACTTTGAATTTGTTATCCGGCATTTATTCACTGTCAACGCCAAAACAGCGCTGGACAACAGCGAAAGTCCCATTTTAAAATGGAAGCGCAGTTCTGAAAATTCGACCAGGCATCTTTCTGTCTTGGAAAACGCTGAAGACATTGTCGTGATGAGTGGTACAAGTAACATACTTCGCCACCATATGGCAGCAGTACAACAAAGACTGGTCGCTTCCTTAATGCCGTGGTTCAGCGATATCTTTGAATCGCGTGAGGTAGCCACTATTGCTTGTGGAATAAAATTAACTAAATGCGTTGTATTACATTGTAATGACCCCACAGGTATTGGCACAAATGGCAGACCGATGTTTCTGTCCATGTTTTAGTTGAATACAAAGTTTGGTTTAAACGAGAATGGTCGTCATCAAGGCAAGCAATGAACGAACAGCTCTGACATTTGGCGCTATCTGTTCGACTTGCATAAGTTCACATGATTGTTTGCTTTGATGATGGCCAAAGTTATACAGTCGAAACTTCTCAGTGAAGCAAACTAAAGTCTTAAACATAGAGGCTTAGACTCTTCCTCGAATCATTGCAGCTCATCTTACAGCGGAATGCTTAGGACCAATAGCAGTTTACTACATTATGGAATGGTATTTTCACTCATTTGAATATCGTTGGGGATAGCATGAGCGTACATTCAGCGGACTTTGCTACATCAGCGAGAGATTGATGCTATTCACTTTGGTAACCGTTGTCGTGAACCGTCGTGATTGTTTTAAGGCGAATTTCGGTCTTATTGCAATTGTAGGAGTAGCGTGGTCTGTTTTGCTTCCGCCTACGCCTTCATCATCACTGTTAATTCTTCTAACTATTCGTTGCTTTAGCGGCAGACGAGGAAAGAGGTTGACGATGGATACGGCGTTGTCACTCAGATATGCCAGATTGCCATTACGTTTCGCCGGCGGCCGAGCGAAGTTTGCCGTCACATTGTTTGCCTCATTTCTGTTGGGTTTCCTAGTCAGGTTGCGTCCCCTCTGTTGATATGTTTGCGCTGTATCAGGATTACGTCGGTCCGTTTTCAGGCACTTCTGCAGCCGTCAACGTAATCCAGAGAAAAGGAGTGATAAGCATGTCAGCGGTCAGCAGGTGTTCGGTAAAGTGTTTAGTCGTGCGTCGAAGTGTACCTCGTTTCAGATATCGAAGAATCGGCCTCAGGTAACGGCGGACAACGAGCACGAACCAAATCCCGACCTTCAAGCACCCGCACTTCGACGGCCAATGCTAGTAACGTCATCGCATCCAGCGAAACAGCAACTATCCCCAGTTTTGAAAGTGCGTCATCCGATAGTGATTCTTTCACCTGCTACATACGTCTAGGTAACGTAGCGTAATTGTTCCTTTTCTACTACCAGATTCTTCCTCATCTCTCAGTTACTGTATATTTCACAGCACTTCGAACAGCCGTTCAATAAACGGATTTTTTAGCTTGCATGCTATAGCACAGTCGGTAGAGCATCTAACTTAAGTCGAAAGATCGTGAGTTCGAATCTCTGTGTGTTCACTCACTTTTCATCCTTTCAAGATTGATAACTGAGTATTACCTTGTGGGGAGACCTAACAAAACGTTGCACGCTATATAGCTGCCACGTACAGAAATTGCTTTTAAAATATTGTGCTTAAGACTGATAACGTAGAAAACGTGCTCCGCGCCGTAGACTGCATGAAAACAAGGTTGCTACGAATAGCTCCCTTCGTGAATATGTAAGCCCTACGAATAGCCATCACAAATTTCCCTTTGTACCATTGTTAGCTTGTGTAACAAAGTTGCTATCAACAAAATCTATCAGTGCCAAACGCAATAAATACAGTATGTAGATAAGCAAAACGTAAAGTTTGTAATAGTTGTCTGAGCCCCTTATCATTTGACGAATAATCAACATTAGCGAACTAATTCAATTTTAGGAAACAAAGTTCCACCGCTTCTCGCATTGCTGATGAACCATTTTCCGTCATATTTATTTTTTATTCACTGATGGTAGTCGTTATCACGCCTGTATTCATTTACTATTCTCACATTATAATTTTTGCAGTGATATGCTTAGGTTCAAGTTTGTGTTGACTTTTGAACTCAGCTAAAATCAAAAATTCTTTTTCCACTTTTCACTCATTTTCATTTTTCTCTTTCTTTCCCCTCTAATGCCATTGTTAGTTAGCCTTTTCATTTTATCATTCTTATCTGTTTTTGTTTCTCGTAATTTTGCTTCTGCATGCCCTCCTTCTCTGTTTTATCCTTCTTATCGTATTTGTCTCTCATTCCTCATTTCCTTCTGTTCCACTTTCTTTTTAACATATCATTTTCCTTCCCTATTTTATCTTCTGTCTTCTTCGTTTCCTACTTTTTACTTACTTTCTCTTCCTTTCAGGTTTCCACTTTTGAATTTCTTTCTTTTCTCTGCCCTCCATTTAATTTTTCTTTTTTTCCTTATCCGGTTTGTAGGCTCTGCCCTTCTTTCAGTTTTCTTTCTGTTTTACTTCCTTTTCCCTTTCTCTATTCAGTACCGTTTCTTGTAGCGCAAAATTTGTAACATCCTTTTCATGAAGCTTATGGTGTTGCGCCAATGTCCTTTACTGTTCTGCCAGTGAATTGTGCTACATTTTTTCCATTTGATGGCAGCATGTGCATTTTGA